GCCTCCCCAAGCGCATGCTGTTAGGAGCAATGGCGGGGGGCGTGGGATACCGGGGCGGGCAGGAGAGCGACTGGGTGTCTCGTCTAGGGAAGGACCTCGTGGCCTTCAACATGAGAGACGAAAAGGAAGGAGGTAATTGGAAAGAGAGCGCCAAGGACCCGGAGGTGTGGTACAACAAGGTCGAGGACGGGGCGGCATGGTTCATGAGGAAATGGCACAGGCAGGAGGCGGAAGCGTCCGCGAAGCGCCAGCGCGCGCGGGAAGCAGAAGCAGAGAGTACGACCATCTCAGGACCGAAGAGAAAGAGAACCGGCGAAGCGGCGGTGGGGGGGAAGAAACGGCGAACGGGCACTGCNCTGGCTGTCTGCCCATCTGCCGCCTCTTTGCCCTGTTTGCTCCGTTACTCCCATGCCCTGGTGCGTAGTGCCTGGTGCTGATACGTTACCCTTTGATTTTTTCTTTGGGCGGGTGTGGGAAGCGTCCTCTTTTTTTTTTATCGGTGTCCGAGGGCTCTTTTCTCGAACGGTCGGTGCGGTACCTGTTCTTTTCTTTCTTTCGATCATTTTGTTTTCTTTTTCCGAGTGGTTTGTATCCTATTTTTGTTTTTTGTTTTCTCGCGGCGTCGTATGTGCCGGGTTTTGAGACCACGGGCTCTCCGTTTTTTGTGGACTATAGAGCTAATGTGAGAAACAACAACAACAACTCCCTCGCAATACTTTTTACGATTGTCAAAATACTACCGATCTTATCGACCGGGAGGGAGACGCAGCCGGTCGAAAAAAAAACGGACAACACACTTCGTGGACAACCCGACACCGACAGAAGAAAAAGTTGAGGTCATTCTTTCGAACTCCATACACAACGTACCGACTCTTAGCATACGTTACTTGGGGTTAATGTATTCAGATGGAGCCGGCTTACGGTGCGACTTGCATTTCTCTTGCCCCTCTACCGCCTCGGCGCCCGTAAGCCCTGCGTCGCACACCGCGTGGAAGTTGGCCACCTTCCGGCAGAGCTGTTGAACGATGTCTAGGCTCAAGTTGTCTACCCTGAAGCTCTTGAAAACGTTCTCTCGCAAGCAGGCGATAGTGTATTTGCAGTTTCTGCGGATCCACCACTTGGATCTACCCCACACAAGCTCGATCGGGTGCAACTCGCAATGGAACTTTGGAAGCATGAGCGCAACCCCTCCGTGGCGCTTCAGGAGAACCTCTAGATTAGAGTCGACGTTCGCGAAATCCTTTTGCGCGCGCAACACCGCCGGCATGCTCATCTTCGGGTTAGGCTCCTGACCCTTCTTGCCCCCAACACGGTCATCCCTGGGATCCAAAGTCCCCTCTCAAACAAGATTTATTTCATCCTCTTGACCTTGCTTACGTGATCGGTGGCGTCTGGCTCATAGAATGGGTACTCTCCCTGCTGGAAGGTGAGGTGCTGCACCGCCCCTTTCTTGAGTGTGGGTGTGTCTTCCAGTATGGTGGTAGTATTCTGAGGAGCTAGATCCTGCCCCTTCCTCACCCCCGTGTACCCCGCGTTTCCATCATTGCACGCAACCTCTTCCGACCGAAGCTTCCCTTCGGTCGGCCAGCCCCTTCACGTGCTGCCTGCTTTGCACGTGGTGGAGGCACTGGGAGGATCTCGGCCGGGGGTTGACAGTCGCGGCCGTTTTTCTCGAGGAGGAAGGAGCTGTGACGTTGCTCTGGCACCCCGCATCTTCTGTGGAGAGAACGGCGCTACCGCTAGAAGAAGACGGCCGCCACGCAGTAGCGAACTTTGCTTCGGCCGACCAGTCACGTGCCTTTTTGTTTGACTTTGGGTAGTTGATGCAGTCGCTGTATCAGCTGCTGCGAGAACCATCCGCGAGGTCTGTCTGCTGTCAGCTGCAGACGATACATTTTCGGGCTGTTCACTTGACGCACACCGGTCATCGTAGAACCACGCCTAGTCAGGGCCTCCCTGATGGCCGCATGGGCCTCAGGGCGAAGCATGGAGGTCATGGGCGTGCAGTGCGTGCACCGCTAGCTTGTTTTGTTTTCAGCCGTTGGGGCTGATGTGGGCAATTTTATTAAAATCTATATAATAGTTTCTGATTTTGTGCGGCATGTTGTCAAAAAGGTTCGGAAATGAAACCAACGCCATAAAACAAAACAGAGAGAGAGAGCGTCAATTATCTGCAATTTTTTTCGGTGGGTTCGCCGTAGTTGTCGAGATATGGAGGATTCAGCGGAGTAAAGTACCTTCGCTGGCGATGGGAATAGGTCCATAACTCCTATCCAGAGCGAACCCACCGCTTTTGAAAGGCTTATTCGAAAGCTACTGGCGAGAGCTTTCGAACGCACATTTGTTTGTCGCCCAATTATTTTGACAACCCTTTCAAAAAAATCACCCCGCCCCACAAATGTGGGCCCACAAATGTGGGACAATCGGTGGAACTGTATGCCGCTAGTTGCAGAGGTCGTGAGTTCGAATCCCCATGGGGTGAAAAAAATGCGAAATTTGCGGGTGAAAGCTAAACATAGCTAAAAAGCTCTCGTGAGTACCAAACTTCGAAGTTAGCACCGTTGACGAGGGAAAGGGACGGCTGGACCCTTCTCGCGATGAAATAAAATTCAGCACGCACCGCAGGAGGAAGGTGGGGCATGTAACGAAATGAAAAGAAAAAAGCCCTGGTGTTTACCCTCTCCTGTCTGTGTGACCCTGGATGGTTGTAGTTGTACGAAAAATACACTGAAAAAGTGTAGTCCACTACAACATACATACGCTGAAAAGTGTAGTACACGTCTCACCACGAAAAATGGAGGGACTGTCGCCACAATAAATAGGACGAAAACACACACACACATACACAAAGGGTTTGAGCCAGATGACCTTCCCCACAACAAGAAACGTAGGGCTAGGGAAGAACTGCCCAGAGATTCTTCTTGTCGAAATGAGGATCAGAATGATGGTAGCGAAAACAAGGAGGACACTGGTGAAAGTACTCCTAAACGAACTCGAGTACTAGGTAATAGCCTTGGTAGACGCGTGCATNCACACACATACACAAAGGGTTTGAGCCAGATGACCTTCCCCACAACAAGAAACGTAGGGCTAGGGAAGAACT